CAACTATCGCTATGATACTTAATTGCAAGCCGCATGAGAAAAAAGAACTCAATAATACCAACCTTTGTCTGTGCTGGTGAATGAATATTCAAAGCCGCAGCTCCTACTGATGATGGAGCGAAGTATTTGATCATTCTTGCTTCTTTCGACAGCTGATCAGCCTTGAAAAGACACATTGTATTAGTTTAATATTTTTTGAACCTAGCGGGTATAATGAATTTTTTTTGAAACCTAGGCCTTTATTTTGTCTTGTACATATTGAGAATGATCCTTTGAGTACGATAAATATTTCACTTTCTTATACAGATGCAATATCTTTACTTATCAATCTTGAATACTTCAATCTCGAATTTCATGAACTCACATTGTTTCTGTTCTTCTTCTTCTCAAAAGCTGCTGAAGCAAAATTGCCTTCAGCCAGTAGTGATGGATACAACGTTAGTTCGTCTTCTTTTGCATTTCTGAATTTGGCAATTTCAATGTGGTGAACCTCAGAGAATGTGTAAAGGATATCTCACCTAAATAGTTCCTTAACAATAGCTACTCTATCTTCACCAGATAATTGAATAGTGGCTGGAGGGCACATTGTTGGCGCACTGGTTTGAGTTTGTTTGTCTACAGCAAGCCGTTTTCTATAAAATAATTGAAAAGTCGTACGAAATCTTGAGAAGATATTTCGGAAGCAATGGAAAAACCAACCAGTTCAAAAATCAGTGAATGGAACACATTTTGCTTGCGCTTTAAGCAAAAGTATCTGCAGGTTGTTGCAATGGATTTTCAATGAATTTGGATATATTTTAAGTCTAGCAGAATTATTGCTGATCTCATTCAGGTAAATGTTGAACAAAACGAAAACAACTATTTTCAATAGCGAGACCCAGTATTGAGTAAGGTTATCAACTGTTACTATTGAGCTTCTAACATTGCTGACATTTTTTCAAAGTATAAGAAAGAAGGGATCACGTTTGGAATTGCGTTGAAATCAAATAAGGGAAGTATACTTGATCAAATCGGTGATTCAAAGATTGATACATACCGATGAACGTGCTCAAAACGTGAGTTCATATCTATCATTATCGCAATCTATATTCAAAAATGCTCAAAAGCTCAAATTGAATTTCAACAACTCAGAAGCTGAGTATTGGTGTGACGTTATATCAAAAATTAATTTTATCTGCACTTCTTAAGATCCAGGTTGCTTCAAATAGGATTAGAAACAAAAAGAACATGATTCTAGCTGTAAATTTATAAATTTATCGATCTTTAAATTTGTGAGCGTCAAAGGCAGAGCATTTAGCAGTTGCTCAGCATACGCAAAGGGTTAGAGTTTCACCTTAGCGCATACTTCAATTTATGAGAAGTAAGCGAGTAAAAAAATTCCAAAATTCGGAAAAATTCGTGTGCGACAACCCAATATTCGGTATGTATTACTAGACTTTGCAAAAACACCCTTTTTCTTTCATTACAATTCGTCCTGTTATCTATTTCGAAAACACCCAGATACAAATAGTTCCAAATAATTACCTGGCCTGTTGATACTTCTTGATGTGTTCTGCTCTTCGCTGTTCTATTGCAGAAAAGGGCATCAAGCTTAGACGACGTGCTATTCTTTCCTCTAAAGAGTACTTTAGTCAAACGGACGCTCTGTCATAGCCTTCTTAGTGTGAACGAATTTCTGGCATA